GGGTGTCTAAGTGCTACCAGCTCTCCCGGTGCAACCGTGCTGAGGCCGGCACCCCTGCTCCTCAGCCCCTCTGGGGTGACGTCTGGGGTGACATCTGGGGTGAGCCAATTCCTCCCTCTCGGTTTCAGGTTGGTGTCAACAGTCCAAGCTACGATGGCAACGGTGTCGGGGATCACAGTTGTCCTTAACTGCAAAGACGTGGTGTACGACAGGTAATGCCGTCCGAGAGCCTTGCTGTGCTGCGAGGAGCACGCCGAGGCTGTGCCCGGCCGGCTCGCAGATGGAGTAGTTTACGCCAAAGGCTTGCACACACAAAGGGGAGAGGAAAACCAGTTTCATGTTCCTCTTTCCTCTGTTTCGGGTGAAGGGTTGGGCAAACGTGCTGGCCGTACACCCGCTGAAAGGCACTGCCTTGTACAGTGCGCTCAGACCCGGTCTCCTCCTGAGGATGGGCTGTAACATTGCTGTGTACATCAGCAAAAAATAAAGCTATCGTCACTTCCAAAGGGGTAGGGAGTCTCCTTGCTGCAATCTGAAATTGCTAGTGAGTCAAGCAGACCTAGTGAGAACTGATTTTAGAGGTGCATCACAATATCCATGCCAAATGGATGTTGAAGGAGTCCCAAAACAAGAAAATCAGTATGGAGTTTGCTCTGAAGGAAAATCACATCGCCTTGTCCTCAATGCTCCGAGATAAACTGCCCCAGATGTGTCTCTCAGCAGGAGTGATAGCGCAATCTGGGTCAGAAGGCTTAACAACAGAGCCATTATCCAGAATAACCAAGAAAATTGTAGGAGTGAAGAATATAACTATGCTGAGCTGGAATTTGACCATCACGCTGGATTTTAGGGAGGGCTGCTCTCAGTCATTGCAGACTTGCCCTTAATACACAGATATGAAATGTCCTGCCTTGCTCTAGCTGGTGAGATCTACCCAAATTACTCAGTCCTGCTTAATCCAAGCAGTCTAATGAGTTACCTTTTCGCTCTAAAATAAAATGCCTGCTGTATAGATAGGGCAGATGATAAATCCCAGACCCACACAGATGGAAGGTGCTGCTGGCAGCCCTTCTTCTCCCTGGAGCTGTGTGCTTGCCCGGGTGCTCCCAAGGCCAACAGCTCAATGAGCACACTTTGTGGTCAGAGACCTAGATTTTCTTTGAATCTTGGAGGAAATACAGCCCAGTGCTCAGCAGGGAAGGTCTCGGAGAACGACAGCAAGAGAGAGAGCCAGGAAGCATCACAAAGGTTGCGGTAAAATTTGCCAATTTATTTACACAGGCAGACAATCATTATATTGCTGGCACTATAATTGCCCTCCAAAGCCCTAGGCAAGTTTTGCAAACACAATAGCTGGTCACTTCCCCTCCCTGCTTTACATCACTTATATCTTTCTATCCGAAATAGGAATGCATGCAACAAATTTTTTCTTGAGATGGCAGGAGAGCAAAAGCAGATTTATTTGGGCCTCAAGCTACATTTCTTTAACCAGCAGTGTAGGGTGGTGGTGTGTTTTTTTTTTTAATCAGTGTGATTTCACTCAGGACTTTTTTAAGGAGCCCAGTCTCCCTGCAGAGTAGGGCTTGCTGCTGCCTGGATTGTGCAACTGGGATTCTGACAAGCTTTGGGAACAGGCAGCTGCCTGCAATTATTTCCCAACAGACAAATGTCTCACAGGGGTTTATTGCCTGTATTAGATATTTTGCACTTCACTCTCCAAAGTCCGGGTCAGGCATCTCTAACTCTGAGGTCTTCACGTGCGTTCCAAACGCTCCCCGCGTTAGGCAGCCAGTCGAAGTGGAGTGGCAGGCAGGAGCACCCCGACTTGGAGTTTTTCCTCTACCGAGTGTCAGCTCTGGGAGTCCCAGGGCTTAGGGGAGAAGATTACCTGCTGCAAAGGTGTCGGATTAGCGCCGGATCCCGAGCAGTGCTGTGCCCCCAGCCCGCACGGCAAACACCCGGCCGCAGGGCTAATCAAGATCCTCCTGTTAGCGCTGTGTTTGTGCTTGGCTGGGCTGAGCTCGGTGCCTGGCACGGCCAAGCGCAAAGCAGAGGCAGCGCCGAGGAGGCGTCCTCCACACGTACCAGGTACCTTTCCTCTGCTGAGCCAAATCAAGTTAAATTTTGACACCTCTCAGCTTACCATTAGCTTCAAAATCTGCTGCTTCCATTTCAGACATAAAGACTCTCTTCCACCTTTTAGAGCATCGCGAGGTGCTCAGAGCCATTGCGATGCCTCTGTGTGTGCTGCTCCTCCCCTAGGCACTGGCTGGCCGTAGAGTACATCTGGGTCCTCGTTCCCTACATGACCTATGACATTTACGTCATGTACCTCTGCCACTGGCACAAAAGCCGGGACAGGGGAGTCGTGGAGAAGAAGCACTCACTGGCCAGCGTGCGGAGCTTCCTCCTGCAGGAGCGGCTGATGGTGACCCACCACCTCTTCATCCTCGTCGTGCTCACCCCCGTCACCCAGGTAAGGGCTGGGCATGGCCGCTGTGAAACCCAGACTGTGAGGAGCCCCACGTGGCTGCAAGGGCTTGCAATCGAGGCCGTGTCTGGCAAAGCATCGCTGCTGGTCAGGAGCCCACAACCCCCTGGAGATGCTCAGTGTTAGCTCCCAGCCACCTCACTGCTGGCCTTATTTGCAGCACTTCAGGGGAGAGCTGGGGGACTTCTTCGTGGGCTGCATCTTCACAGCAGAGCTGAGCACGCCTTTTGTATCGCTGGGCAAAATCCTCATGCAGGTAGGTGAGGAGGGACAGGGCTCAGGTCTGGGAACCCCACAGCAGCTCATACCCTTTCTCCCCCCCAGGCTGCCCTTCTCCATCAGCCCCTGTTCATGCAGCAGCTGGGCTGGGGGTCTCAGAGGGGGGCACCCCCACAGCTGTAACCCCAAGCTCCCTCACAGTGCTGCCCTCCTCCTTGCCTCCCATTCGGTTCCCATCCCTTTCCCCAGTAAGCAGCATGCCCAGCAGCATCCCCAAACTGGGGGCTGTGCTGTGTCCTGGTGCTGCCCCCTCCTGTCTGTACCCCCCCTCCCTGCACCACACTCCCTCCTGCCCAGCCCTCTGCCCCCCAGGCCACCCTTCCTCCTCCATCCCTTCCCATCCTGCATTCAACCCATCCTCCATCCCTCCCCCCTCCAAACCCCTCCCCCCATCCACGCCTGCTGTTTGCTCGGCTCCACGCTCCCAGCACAGCCAGTGCCCAAGGAGCAATGGGGTGCCACTCACTCCATGTTCGCCTTCTTCCTTCCCCAGCTCAAAATGCAGGACACACTCCTGCACAAGGTGAACGGAATCCTCATCCTGGTGACCTTCTTCCTCTGCCGTATTCTCCTCTTCCCCTTCATGTACGCGGCCTACGCCAGGCAGGTGGGAATCCCCATTTACATGGTGCCGTTCCGCATCCCCCTGCACTGCAACATAGCCAATGCCTCCCTCATCGCCCCCCAGCTCTACTGGTTCAGGCTCATCTGCCGCAAAGCCGCCCGACTCTACGGCGGGGCGCCCCCTGCCACAAACAGAAAAGACACGACGACGC